CCTTCTAGCCCCCCCCTCCCAGGGTAGGCAGCCCCGGCTCTCCCCCCAGCTACTGGGGAGGGCCAGGCCAAGTGCTGGCAGCCCTGGTCAGCCCCAGCTCTCCCCTATTCCCACCCCGGCCTTGGAAGCCCTGGCTCTCTCCCAGCGACCACTGGAAGGAGCGGGAACCAGGCCAAAGCCTTGCCAGGCCTAGCTCTCTCCTCCCAGCCGCTGGGAGGGAGGCTGAGGCCAAGGCCAGCTGCCGGGGTGTTGGGCTGAGCCAAGGTCTTGCTGCGGCAGACTTGGCTTTCTTCCCCACAGCCACTGGGGGGTTGGGCAACATGGAGGAGGTGGGAGGCTGCATGGCTCGCCTCTCCCTGGAGCATGGGGGGAAGCCACATGGCTGAGGGTGGAGGGAGGGGCTGCAGGATGCAGAGTAATGCATGATGTTACTATCATCCCCCAGGAAAAGTTTAGAAAGAGAGAGGAAAAACACATAATAAGTTTGAATTATTAGGGCAGTTCATGCCACCTCAAATGCCTCCCTTTTATGGAGAAGGCACTGGCTCTCTCCTTATAGTCAGGCAGGGTTTGTGACTTTCTGAACCCACAGATGACCCCAAATCTATAGGAAAATATAGTGGACTTCAGGATGAAGTGCTGGTCTCAGCATTCATAGACGTGATCAGTGCCTATGCACTCATTACAGGATGTCTACACCCCACGCGTGGAATGGCAATACTGCTCTCTCGGGAGCAATAACCAGCAACAGCTGTCCCGGCTGCACCCTCACGAAGAACTTGTAGTTGCAGAGATGTGGGTGTTGGTATGTTCCACTTTAAATATCTTCACAAGTGTCGAGGAGAATGCCACAGAGCTAGTCTGGCTTGTCTCTGTCCCCTCCTCACCTCCATGGAGCCCCAAACATACTGTTGGAGTGGGAATTAAAAATGACTCTGCAGTTCATCCTCCCTTTCCTTTGAGACAAATGGGCTTTCATTTTTCCCCGCAGACATTCTGAAGTTTCTCCATGAGATTTTTCAGATGGCAAGATCTAGCCAGATACTGGCTTTTCCAGCAACTCATCATTTAATTAGAGGTAAGCAGAAGAGGCTTATAGTAGTAATCTTACAGAATATTTCTACCTATGTATGTAAATAATAGTGGAAGGAGCCATGATTACCACTGGGTCAGTGGTAATCTGGGTGCTGTACACTCTTCAAATTGGGTTCAGTGATTGCATATTTTATTATGATTGAAGAACTGGATTTTGCACTTAAAGGCTTAAATTTTTTTGAATGACAAAATTTTATTTTAATTGTTTTTGTTTCATTACAAATTTAGGTCCTAGTTCTGCAAATGGTTGAATGCAGCAGGACGCTTGCATCACGAAGATCAGATTGCAGGATCAGGGCCTCAGTATCCAGACTGGTATAATTTATAACAAAACATTCATAGTTTTCTCTTCAAAAATTACATAAATGGCAATCAGATCATGTGTGAGAAGTAACTTTTTTTTTTTTCCATTTAGGCTTAGAATGGCACACAGCCAGTATCATAATCCAGTTTTCTTAGGTATACAGATTTTAATCCCGAATTATGCCTTGTGTTATAAAAATAGAGAGGGGGATAATAATTACCAGCTACCTCCTTCCTTCAGCAATGGTTAATAGGCTGATGCTATGTTTGCACTACAGAGCCTATGCTGGACAGCTGCGTTGTCTGGCGATCTGCGCACGCGCAGATTGCCCAAACCCGGCTCTTCCGGGTTACAATCTACTCGCCACGGGCCAATAGATTGTATAATTTGTTGAGCCCTGGGTATAGCTATACCAACAGAGCCCCCAGTGTAGATGCAGTATACACAGGCAGAATGGTCTTTTTTGCCATTGTAGGAACACCTCCTCTCAGAATTATATTGATTTATGCTGACAGAAGCTCTCTTCCATCTGCATAACTGCATCTCACTGTGGTTGAGTTGGCATTGCTTTAGCACTAATTGTGGTTTTTCACACCCCTACTAACATGGTTATGCCACTATAAGTATTAAGAGTATACCAGCCTTCAAAAAGTGAAGTCTGACTCTCAACCCTATGGCAATTTTGTTTGCCTGACTGCAATGCAATAACTTTAGAAAGCATCTAATCAATTCCAAAATGTAGGAAACATGATGATAAAGTTGCCCACTCCCTTTCTTTAAACAGAAGTCCTACTAGGGCAGCGGTGTACAACCCGTGGGTCGGTCGTGGCCGTCTTCCTGGGGAATCGCAGCACTTTGACGTGGGCTGGCATTTTGTTTTCCTGGCTTGGGGGAGTGGCAGGGGAGAGGACTGGTTTTAATGTAAAGGGACTGCGACAAAATGTTCCTGGCGGTTTTTTTCTTTTCTCAACAAAAATTTTTCCAGTTCCGGGGGTCGCAAATGAAAAAAGGTTGAGCAACACTGTACTGGGGTATCTGTTACCATACATTCTCATAGCAGTGAATTCCACAAATTAACTAGACACTACATACTGTTTTTTAATCCATTTATCAAAAATCCTCATTGTTATTTTTTATTATTGGTATTATCATACAACCCAGTCGTAGACCATGACCACCACACTGTGGTAGGTTCTGTACATACTGTGTGAGTATGTAGAGACAAAGGAATAATTTTTGTCTGGGACTAAAGGCAAGCCTCTTTGCCAAGGCTGATTCCCCACCCTGGCACAATGAATGCAGAAGTGGGGGCCTGCAAAAGTACCCCAAAGCCTTATCTTTCCAGGCTTTGGTATAAAATTTTCCCCCAAAATCCTAAAAATCTAGATTTTAGGGATAAAAATCTGCTGCCACCACCCAAGTAATGGTAAGAAAACCAGGGAAGAGATCACTTGGGAAATCTCAGTCCTAAAGTAAAACCAGGACACAAAAATTAACCAATACCAGGTTAATAAAAAAAGAAAGAACTTTTATTATCACCACAATACTCCTGTTACAAGCATAATGATTAGATGGAAAAGTCACCAATTAATATACTCATAGGGGATTCCCATGGGCCAAAATTTAGTTACAAGGGAGAGGAAATCCCATTTCTAAATGCACAGATATCAGATTCCCATTCCCAAACCATAAAACAATAAAACCTAACGGATTTATCTAAACTTTATCCTACTTACAGAGAGTGAAGAGTCTTTTCTTGGAGAGAGACATGTTTTCTGTCCCCCTCAGTATCTGGAGAGTAAACTACCCAGGGACAAAGGAGGGAAAAACCAAAAATTCCTTTATCCCAGTTTGAAATCCATATCTGCATTTGTATTGGCTGACTGCTACCTGGCTAGATACAGTTAACCCCTTAGTCCCGAGGTGGCTGCCCATCCCTCATGGTCGTGACACTCTTCTTCACTGAAAACCAGTCTATTGCAAATACTTATTCCAAACTAAAATTCCTAATAATAGCACATAGATAGCTTGCAACTATAGCTGGAAGGAGACTATGATCCAGATGTTACCATAATCTCGAAGTATAGTCTTAGGTCTTTATTTGGCTAACATATGTGTGCATAACTATAACTTTACACATGTTTTCATGCTTGCAGGACCGGGGCTCTGATAAGTATTCTCCATAACAAATATTTTGCTAATTATTATTTAGTATGATCTTTTTTTGGAACAATTTGGCTCATTAACAAACATCATGAAACCTGTCTTAAGCTACTGTTCCAAGGGACCTGCAAATGTGATTGCTTATTCCCATTTGTCTATCTAACTAAAGAGTTAACACAATTGTACTAGAAATATTAGTAATATTTTAGGTATGTATGCATAATGTTATAGATGTACATTATTTGCAGGACTGAGGCCTATGATTGAATCATGGATATAATTTTCTCTCTGATGCGTTATTTGAGGTCAACCTTAAGTGAAAAGGAATTCTTGATTAGGCATTCTTCACTGTATACTCACTCAATGTCAGGCTATACCCAAAGGTTCTGACATGAGGCATCTCTCTTGAGGGAGGCAAGATTTCTACTTGCAGCTGAGAACACTTTTAAAACAGAAGCACCAGCTGTGTTCACAGCGGATCATTGCAGTTGATTTGCTCAGTGAACTAGTCACAGGATGGTTTGTGCTAAGCTAACTCTGGGCTGAAGTAAAGTTGTGTTTATTTTCCTTAGTATTATTCTGTGGGTGTTGCATAAAAAGGTCTGTATTTTGATGAACTACATGTCTAGAAACGTCATGGTAATAAGTGATGTTTTTCCCAGTTGGTTTTTTTAGTGTAGTTAGTGATTTGGTAGTGACCACTCAGCAAAGTTTTAAATGCTGACTCCCATCCTGGTGCTTGCGTAACGGTTTTTACATACAGCAAATGCTGCTGCAGTAACTTCTTCATATTGATGGAACCTATCTGTACATATATGCATACCTCCCGAGGGTAGCTTTTTAACTGAAAAAAGTTACTACCGGTGGGAACCCATGCTGTGGCACATTTCTTTTGAAAATGGAAGTTTCAGAGGCATGGAAGTTCTAATGATCAGGGATGGGAGTGGAGAGATCAGAGTTCAGTTCCTGACTTGGGCAGGACTGCCTGTGGTGCCTTTAAAAAATTCTTAAAACTTTGGGTGTCAGTGTCTCCATTTGTAGAGCCCTGTTAATATTTTACCAGGGTTGTGAAATTAATATTTGTAAATCTTGTTCTGATTCTTGGATGAAAAATGTTACAGACATGCAACAACTTCTGCATGTTTTCTGTCCACATTTTATATTCTAAATGGGGGGTTGGAAGTACTAATTTAATCTTTCATGTCCCAATGTATTATGTCCACAAGGATTTAGTGTTTTCCCTCATACACTGTAGATCTTGAAACAGTTACTAGCCTCATTAGTGAGAATGGTACTGAGTATATCTCTGCTGCTTCCTAATGAGCTTTAATCCTCCAGTTCTACCACCTGTGTGTAGTGCTATTGATTTTTGATTAAGCTGGGACTTGAGTGGGATTCAATTAAAAACTGCAGAAATGCACTTTTACTGGCTATGAAGGCATGGCAGTCAGGAAACATTTTTATATTCCTTTAAGACATTTAGACCCCAATCCTGCAATAAGCTCAAAACAGGCACGGTATCTGTGGGGAGCTCGTTTTACATCAGGGAGCTTTAGAGTGCTAACTGAAACAGGGAACAGTAATTGAACACTAGTCACTTATCAGTGGAGAGCACAACTACTAAGTGGTATTTTTAACAGCATAAGTCAATCCATAAATCATATGGATTTGGCTTTGTTTAACATGCTTATATGTTCAGAAGCTCTAAACAGGTTTCTGGATTTAGAAGAAAATAATGTCCCATAGCCTATTGCTGAGGTTCTCAAACTGGCAGTGAACAGAATGTATTTTTGAGAGGGAAAAGGGAACGTGGGAAAAAAACCTATTGCACACTTCTGAGCTGAGTGGCCAAAGAGGTACCGCTTCTCTCCAGCTGCCCAGCTCTGAAGGCGGTGCCACTGCCAGCAGCAGAGGAGAAGTACAGTAATTGACAATACCATATCATGCTACTCTTCTCCATTGCTGCTGGTGATGGCGCTGCCTTCAGAACTGGGTGCTTGGCTAGTATCTGCCACTTTTTGCTCTACCTTCTGAGCTGGGGGGGTAGAAGAGCAGTGGCTGCTGGCCATATGACTGGGTGGAAAGGGGTGGAGGGAAGAGGGAGAGGTGCTAAACTACTTCAGACACAAAGAAGGGGGGCATAATTAAATAAGTTTGAGAACACTTGTGAGCTGTGACCTTTTGCATGACAGGATCAGACATTTTAATAAGCTTGTTTTGACAATCAATATGTCATTCATTGCCCCTAATGATTTATTAAGGAAGAAGAATAGAACTAAAGAAAACTTATTCATTTGCAAAGTGAGCATTTCTTGAATGTTAACTTATGAACAAGAGGAGTCTTAACCCCCTTATCTATCTAACATAGGGGTGAGTGATAAATAGGAGGGGTTCACCAGGGTTAGCGCCTGGCTAGTTGCCACTGCTATATTTACCTATGCCTCTGCAGGTTTAGGCAATTGCATCTCTCATTGACTGTGGAATGCTGTTCTTAGCCAATGGGCGCTGCAGCAGCGCAGACCAGAACATTGCTTCCTGCAGCTTCCATTGGCTGGGAATGGTGATCTGTGGGCAACAGGAACTGCAGTTACCCATACCTGCAGAGGTGCAGGTAATTACAGTGGTGGCCTCCCAGTGGGTAACCTTAGGGAACTGGATCTGATTTGCAGGCTGGTATTTGCCCTCCCTGATTTAACAGATTTATACTATTTTAACTTAAGTTTTTTTCAAGAAGTACTTCCTCCTTTCACAAAACATCGACATCTTTCCTCACTTTTTAATATTTATTGTTAGATGTATTGATCCTTTTTTTTAGTCCAGGATTTTACTACTATTTGATAAATAAAAGGTAACAGTCTTCAAATAGTTTTTGCAATTAGATGCTAGCAAGTACAGAGAAAAAATTTACATTAAACTGTTGATGATTTTGTTCATCAAATGTAGATTAAATTCAGAGATAGTATATATTATAGGAAATGTATGTTTACTTGTTAAAGGACAAAAAGTATCTGATATGTTTCTCCAGTGTATCCTGTGACAACAAAAATTTCCAGTGATACAATCCCTTCCCCCCACAAATTTCTAAA